AACTTTATCATTATATCAATTTAGTTATGTCTAAATACTGCATTTAAGTATCATGTTAGAAATATATGTGTAAAAACAATTAATAGAGAAGAAAATAGTACTTTTATGTCTACTTAGATGTGTAGTTATGAAAAATAAAGTTCAAAGCGACAGTTGCTTAAAAACCATTATACCAGCCTTGTCCAAACATGTTGCATATTGCCGACCCTATCTGATTAACACAAACAAGTTTGAATAGCCATCGGTGGTAGACCACGCCTTTGAAGCCAAAGCGAACGCCCCAGGCACCACCGTACTATATAAAATGGTCGGGTTAATTACAATTTCTTGTTAAGCTTAGTCTCTTTTGTCCAGATTTTTGGCTAACTCTTCATAGCATAAATAAGCCTATAAGAGGCAAAACTTTTGATCTAGTATTTGTAAAGAAATATTATTTTACATTGTAACGATTTTTTTGTATTTTATACAAGTTTTTAAATGTCGGACCAGAGATGTAAAATCCCTTGTCACTGCGGAATACGGAACAAATTCCGTTACGCACATCACTACCTAATGTTTACTAGTATTTATAGTTTTTTTTTATGTATTGTAATAATTCAAAAACTGTTGGGCAGCTTTAAAAAATTCTTGCACCATTAAAAAGCTACGTAACCACTGAGTAACAAACATACCTTTTTACTTTTTTTAATTCCACGCGGACGAATTCGCGAGCAACAGCTAGTGTAATAAAAGACATTTAAACAGTCCAAGAACATGATTGTTATATTCTCAGTAAGATACTAAATCTACCCTAAGCGAGTCATAAAACAACAAATAACTCTGAGTGTGATGCGTAGCTCAAAGTAATTTACGATTCTTATTCAATAAGGAACTTTGAATTTGCTAACTTAAGTTTTTTATAAAATTTACATTGTAATTTGTTATTGACGCTTATAAGCGATCGATCATAGCTAAGGCGATCGGGGAGTGTTGTCAATTTGTAATGGTAACAAATTGTGTGGCGAATGTAATTTGTCTGAGAGCGTAACCGAACATTGATAATGAATTAACTCACCGGATGACATATACGGCATTAATGTAATTATATAATTTAAAGTGAAACCTTTAAAATCAAGATTTACTTTAGTCTTAGGGGTGGTTTTTCTATGGAGAAAGTTTCAAAATTAAAGTCAAAGGATTTACAGCTGTATTTCTAATTTAATTTGATTCAAAATCTTAATTAAATAGACTTTTAAAATAGTACAAGAATAATAGGGTTTTCTTTGTTTTTGTAACTGTGTAAACTGTAGTTTATCTCACTACAATCTTACTAATATTATACGGGTAAAGTTTAGATGGATGGATGTTTGTTAGAGTTTGTGAAATTTGCCATAGATAGGGATAATCTTTTTTTTTATAATATAAGGGTGGCAAACGAGCAAGCGGCCACCTGAATCCACAGAAATGGAAAGCGAGCGCTACCCATAACCATCCGCAATTGCAGATGCGTTGCCTACCCTTATTGACGGAGGAGGAGACGCACATATATAGGACATTTTCCCTTCACCGCGTATCCTCCACCGTCAAAACCACTTTTCCTTTCCATCCTTTCCTCCTAAGAAAAGGGCGTAAAGGGAAAGGGACTAAAATTGGGCCTAATTTTAGTCTGTTTAGTCCACACTCATCAGACGAAACACGGAATTGCTTCCACTTCACGCCTATTTCCTGTGTGGTCGTAGTATTTCACCGGGCGTGCCGGCCCATTCGTGCAAAGATGTTAAAGCGGGCTCTACCACTGTTAAAGAACGGATAGATTCACTGACATAACGCATAGATTCACTTTTATTTATTCTTTAATTACATGCGAACTAGATCACGGGCGAAAGCTAGTAGTTAAATAAATATACAATTTTCTTAAGTAAATAGGAAAACCATTAAGATTTGAAACTTATGTAAATCGTAATGGTTTCCTTTTTCTGACCGCTCGTGAATTGTTTATAGGCTTAAAAGATATACCATGTCAACCATTATTTTGCTTTGCTTTTCTTTCAAACTAAAACACTATCGTAATAATATCACAACGATCTTAAAACAAAGGGTAGACAGTGATAAAAGAAAGGGTCAGTGAATAATAGATGGTTAAATACATATGAAAGTAAAGAGTTTCTCTTTTAAATGTTTTCGTTCGATTTACAGTACATTAGTTAAATGACCATAGCTTCAAAACTGTAAGTATATGATATACTAGCCGTCGAGATTGTATTCGCGCGAAATTAAAAAAAAAACGTAATAAGTAGCTTATGTGTTCTTCCAGACTATGTTCTACATCTATGGCAAATTTTAATGAGACCCGATAAGACGTTGTGCTACGAAACAAACGCAGGATACATGCTTTTGTTTATTTTTTTATTTCACGCGAACGAAGTCGCGGACGAAAGTTAGTTTATAATATTAGTAAGTTAAATTGATATTTGAACTTTTAAAAAAATAATCATTTAGAACGTAGTTTCTCTTAGTTCGATTATAATATCCATTTATAACTATAACGTGATTTTCATTGATAAAAATTGTTTTAGTCCTAATATACCTTTGAAATTAAACTTTCTAAACAATCTCCAATATCCGTGTATATCGTAAACACAATCTAAGCGTACCGATAGCTGTATTTACGAGTGCCAACAAATAAGTATCAGGCTCGGCCCTGCCCGGGGGCTCTCAAGTTGAAACAATGAAAAATGACCGGCGGAAAATTGCGCGGATTCCCAGCGATCCGCGCCCAGAGTTACAACAAGATATTCTGGGGGACGGACTCGTTGATAAATTTGGAAATCTGATATTGAAGTACTATGTTATTACAAATAGTAACGAAAAAATTACAGAAGACTAGCTTGTTATCGCAAGTTTGCGCGTGAAATAAAAAAAAAAACAAAAGTGAGCAGCCTATGTCTTTCAGACTATCTTACATCTATGGCAAACTTCATCGAAATCCGTTCAGCCGTTTAGGCTACAAATTCTAACAAACACCCATCTAAACTTTCGCATAATAGGAAGATTGACAAGACCTTGAATAAAAGATTACACTAATTTAAAGAAAAGACGGAATAAAAACTCTATATGTTATATGGCGTATTTGGTAGAACGATCTTCCTTAAATGATAAATCTTATATTTTAAAAGTAAAAGTAAAGTGTCAATTATGTTACTAAAGATCAGGAGCTCATTTCCCTTATAAAAAAGCAATTTTCTTACGTTACAAGACATTTGACACTAACAATGTATAAATTATTTTACAGTCTACTTTATTCCTCTAATAGATTGAAACTGTTTGCCAATTTAAAGACATACGGTCCGAAATAATGTGTAATTTGCAGAAAAGTGTAAAGCAACATTCGTGGCAGTCGCCCGAGGCGGCCCTGTCTCGGCGCGCACTCTATTTTCCTATTTGCGCGGCAGATTGCCTCTGATTGTATTGTTTGCGGGGCGGGGCGAATTGATACCTAGTATACCCCCCTTCAAACCACCCCCCATGGTGCATCCGAGTGGAAAAATATCGTCTACAACGAGAGATATCTATGTTTGAGATAAATATTTGAGAGCAGAATGAATGTTTAATTTTGTTTTGCGTACTCAAGCGTTATTTGTATGATGGATAGATTTTAAAATTAACTTTATCTAACGATTTTAATTGTTAAATATCAAATCATTAGTTTGACGGTATAATTTATTAAGACTTTACAATATAAATAAAATGCTCGTAGCACTATTCGTAGCATCTACGACGTAACCTCTTTATGGTCCAAAAATTGTTCGAATTTTCTGTTTAAAATGTATATTCCCTCGTTAATTCAGCTAATAATAGGCCTAAGCTCGAAACTGGATATCTGATAATTACGTGAATACGCAGTTTTTATAAGTTTTAAATCTTATAACGTTATAAAGCTCAAGTCTCGCTTTGATATAAATCTGTAAACATTGTTAGTGCTATAAGGCGTCTCAGATCATCTCCTGATTGACAATATCGCCGAAGCTCCGCTACATACCGCCGATAACTTTTATGAGCGACAAATTGTGTTTATATCTATATTTACCGCAGCCATTGGGGTTCGCTGATAGAAAATATTGAAACACGATGAAATTACTGTATGGTACAAGTTTAGAGCGATTTTTTAAAGTATTTTTTTCTTAATTACTACCCCTTTCCATATTAATAATATGGGTAACTATATCTCATGTCAAAAGAATCATACTAATATTATAAACGCGAAAGTTTAGAAAGATGGTTGTTACAAGTATCAACAAACATTCTCTAACACATAGGCTACTATTTTTTTTATTTCCGCCCAACAAAGTCGCGGGAAAAACTTAGCAAACCTAAATAACATATATCCAACAAGGAAGAAAAAATTCAAAACTCTTAAAACCACATCATATATAATAGTCTACAGACGGGTGATTACTTAGAATTACTTTAAAAAACGTGCTAACTGCCTACACGCCGAGTAAAGGAAGACGTCGGGCGTGTCGAGTGGCGTTTCAGTGGTATTTCAGTGGCGTTTCAGTGGCGTCAGTGGTCGTTGAGGGTGCGGTAACGATGTGCCGCGACTAACGACCGTCGCGTCACTCTTCTAATTGGAGACGATGCCGCGGGCGCAGGCTTTACAACACTTATGGTTACCTAGTACATCTAGTCTAGATCCTCCAGATGTATTCAAATAGATCTATACTAATATAATAAAGCGTAACATGTACTTTGTTATGTAGGATGTTGCTGGAGGCGTTACGACAGACTGTAGACTAAATATTTTTGCGTTATTTTATTTAGGGGGGAATCAATTGAAAAAACTACAAGTAAAGCAAGGTTGCCATTCTAATAATTGTTAGCCAGTGGCAAAGGGCAAAAGATTTGTCATTTAAGCATTTGAATTTTGACAATTGAAAATATTACAACTGTAAACAATTAAATAAAATTTTAAGAACCGCTAGTTTTATAAGAAATCTAAGATAAGCTTTTTTATTTCACAGGTACACAAAGATTTCTTCGGAAGAATAGTACCGATGGCTCAAATACAGCGACAAGGTAAGTTAAATTAAGTTAGAAAATATACATACATGTGTTGTAAACGTTACAAGACTTGGGGCCTGTTCCACCATATTGTAAATTGTCTGTTAATAATCCAACGTGTATGTGATGGAAATATCGGATTTTGTTACCTTATCTGTCAATGACTTCATTTTAAGCTATGTGAGCCTCATCAGCCAGTGGTGGGACAGGCCCTTTATAGTTTTTATTGTCTTTAATACTTCTTTTAGACACGCGTTATATTCTGAAGAGTCAGTTGCTTTTTCTACCACATACCTGTATTCTATTATAGCCAATATTTAATTTGTTATAAATCCTTATGTGTTAAGACTTCCTTATACATCCACAACACCATGTACATCCCTAATCCGTAGTATATCAGGCTAAAGCGAATTCATTCTCGAATAGCGAACGTCGCCCGGCCATTATCGCATAACGTTAATCACATGTCGAGTTAGCGGCGGGCCTATTATTTTCAATTACCCGCTCGCGCCAGGAAGGGTTGTTAATATTCATTCCCCGACACTCGCCCGAGAATCGAACACCTGATCCCTTACCCCCCGCGCACCGCAACATCCCGATTGTTCTACCGTTCTCATATTAATTGCGTATAATTCGGTCGCGAATGGGAAATTTTAATAGACAAAGAGAATTGCGTTTACTGACTTTAGGGAGTACACACACAATGTTGGCAAGACATGGGTTTCTTACCACGCTTGGGTTCTTAAAAGAAGAGCTAAAGCTCCCGATTTTTGGGCACAGTTGCATGCGAAAAGCAACCTAATCGTGATAACCAGTATCTTAGAAACGTGATATTTGAAAAAATCCACGATAAAGGTGTGTACACACCATTTCAAAAGTGTATTTCGGTCTTGATATTCGGTTCGTGAATTCGAATTGTTGCACACCCCTAGTAGACATCAACTAAAAAATGTTAACGTCTACAAGTACCTTGTAGACATACCTACGGTCTACGAAATTTCGTAGCATCGTAGATACCTGCGAATGTAGACATCTTACGAGCTTTAGTCAGTACTAAACTTGAATTAATGTGTTTAGAGTCTGATTGTAATTTAAACGTTTTTATTTAAAGGTTTTAGTATTACCAGTATAACAATGGAACAAGTCATAGCTCGTATTATGGAGATGACTTTAGAGGCGGGAGGAACTTGTAATGAAGGCTATATGTAGTAATTGTTTCTGCTCCCCCTACCCAACCCGCCCCCCCAACAATTCAGCAGAGCTATTTAATTTAACAGTCGTATTAACCGCCCGATTCTAATCACTATGTTTGTTTGATTATACTAAATTATGATAAATATTTTAAATTACGGTATGTAATAAAATGAATTGTTATTAACAATATTCAACGTAGAACGTCCACATGGGTCTACAAAAATTAACGTAGACATAAAAATATAAATGAACCAGCGGTTGCCCGCGACTCTATTCGCGTGGTATTAAAAAAAGGAAAGTAAATACGTTCAGTCGTTTAGGTGGTAAACTCTAACCATCCATCCATCTAAACTTTCGCATTAAGATAGTAAGAAATAAATTGAAAACATTCCCGTTCAATTAGTAAAATACCTTCGTTACCCCTGTGGACATACGCGATATTAAAAATGAATACCTTTTTAACTTGCAATTTAAAAATGTAATTAAAACGAATCTCCTAAAATACATCCGTTTAAAAACGGTGTTTATTTTATTCATGCATTTTTGTCCGGGCCTTAAATGAAACGCAAACGAGCTTCAGCGACTGAATAGTTAAGTGGGGGGTCTCTTTTGAGAACGGTGTATATTAAAATACCTACGGCGAGTCGTTATTAAAGAAAGTAGGTAAGCGCACACGAGATTACATAATGTGATAGCGTTGGAAAGCGTCGCCCCGCGCCAGCGCCGCGCGGCACAATGGATGGCAATTAACTAGTGCAAACATACCCCCTACCCTGCACCGCGCACCCCCGCGCCCCCGCACTCCAGCCCACCCGGCGCCCGTGATTATACCCTTGTTAATTATGTTTTAGGGTTATCTACTTAACTTTGAATGGAATTGACTTGTTTTAATCGGCCTTATTGGTCTTACAACAATGGATCATTAGGTTTTCGATATTGTTCTATGAATTTTGTCTTAATTGTTCTATGAATTTTGTATTATGATTTTGGTTTGTAATATCTCATTATTTTGGTAATCGTAAATTCATAATTTTAAGAGTGTGCGTACATCTAAAACTAAACTATTGCACGACTGTTTAGTCTCGCTTTCGCACTCGATTTTTAGTTGTGCACCTAAACAAGAATTGTCTGCGAAACAATCGACAATCGCACAATAGTTGTGCGACGGTTTAGTCAAAGTTGTGCGCCCGCTCTACTATTAGATAACTTTCTATAGCACAGAAGACCACTACCTTTATCTGTATTTTGTCTCGGGTTATTTCAACTGGAAATATGCTTTAAGTTCATATTTACATCATGAATAAATTACTTCAAAGATAAGAGTTTTTTTTAACATGTGAATCGTTCTAAGATTATGTTTTATTAGAAGAAAAATATCTTAAAATTGTGTTTTGTTCACAGAGGCCTTACCTGATGTGATATCATCTAGCAGCGTGTTCTACCAGTACAGGGAGGGATTTAATAACGCCGTGCGCCGGAATGTGCGTCTCAGAGATTTACTTTAAAGCCTTTATTGTAGTATATGTTAATTTTGTTTACTTCAATTAAATTGAAATATTGTGATTATTGTTGAGCTAAAGTATTGTGAGATGTTACATGTATTTTTATTTTTATATACAATAAATAATACAAGAGAAAAAGTCTTTATATTTCTATTATCCCTTTTCAGTATTATGGGCGTCACAGCCATGTTATGCTTTAATAAAATATAGTCTTCTTTACCTTTTATGTTTTCTTTCAATTTGCACAGAATAACCTTACCAATACCTCCGTTTTTCCATGTATCAACGCTCGCCACTACCAATATGACCGTCGTGTCGTCGAGTCAACGCAACACCCTTATTTGTGACATCTGACTACTGTTCGATTATTAATATAAGATGACATAAATATTTAAATAATGTGTTGGATCACAATTACAAAGTTTATATTGTTATTTTAAATAAAGATAAATGGTATTGGTTTATAGCACAGACTAAATAACCTTCAAGAATACATGAAAATAGTTAAAAAGCTAACAGTATGTAGTAATATTTTAAACCAAGTCTTAAGTAATCTCTTATTTGATGCAGGTGTTTACTTCAAATGTGTCACAAACTCTTGTCATAAATACATCAGTGGAAATATTTACGAGTTTAGTTTGAAACAAATGACAAACTGCACTTTGTAAAGAAAGGCTTCTTGTTAATTTCGTGATGGGATTTCTTATATGGGAACAGATTTTAATACAGCTGTTGTTTTCAACGATTTATATCTATACTTTATTGTAAGTAATGTTTGTCTTTTTGTTTAAATTGAAATAACTCAAAAACTACTGAACCGATTCCAAAATTATTACAACATTTAAAAGCTACGTTATCAGTGAGTAACAGGCTTTTTTACTTCCACGCGGACGAAGTCGCTAGCAACTATCTTCTACACTATTATAATAAAGCGTAAACACACACTTCTTTGTTGCCTAAGATGTTAGCAATTACAGCATATTTTTGAATAATTCTTTTTTTAAATAAAAAGCCCTACACTTACGTCACGCTTTAGGCGATATATTTTCACGCCATTGAACTTAAGGGTAAATATTTTGGATAAAAACCCTAATGTGGGAAAGAGACCATAAGTTACTGCCAACATCAAAGAAGCAAGATTGCCAAGGTTTGTAATATCATGTCATTTTGACATTTGCTCTTGATAATTTGAAAAATGTAAACAATAAAGTAAATATTTCATAATTTCATGCGGATAAAGCCGCACTGGAACAGCTAGTAATTAATAAATCTGTCTTAAATTGTCTAACGATACAAAGAGCAGTATTTGTAGCAATGAAAATAGATATGTTACTTTGTATGCGTTTTTACGTAGAATACAAATATGTTTGTAGTACGAGTAATTGTGCCTTAAGTTATTAAACAGCGTAATATTCAGATTCTCTTATATGTCAAAGCATATATAGTACCATCATTGAATGTAGGATGTTATTCTACAGTTATCTCAGTTAAATATTTGATTCTATTTCTTCTACTTGCTTACTTTCTCAAGTATGTGCTTGAGTAATATAGAAAGGAAAATGAAAACTTAAGTGTTTAAATCATTTCTTATGTGTGAATTCTCATTTAACGTGTAACCAATCGAATTGAGAATATCTTTTTTAAATCAGTCAATGGTAAATTTTAGCAAGATCAAAGGAATATTGTAGCCAAACTGCCGCTGAGAATGGCCGAGTTTCTTGTTCTTTATTGCTCAATGTTCCTATTTTTAAATTTTTCTTTTATCTCAGAGAATTTTTTAAATACGCCCAGATCTGGTCAATGTATATCCCGTAGCATTGTCGTAGCAGACAAAGAAGTATTATGTGTCGACAGGACAGGTAGGTAGAAAGGTTGATAAATTAAACCATTGAATAAGTTTAATGTTTTTTATTGCGTAATAATTAAAACAACTATTTAAGATCCTACACTACTGTATGTTATACATATTTATATTATATTACAAGATTTCCCGCGCCGACAATTCCACGAGTCGTGCATAGTGCAGTGGGTACACTCGTCTTTCTCCCTCTCTCACTTATATACAAAACAGGGCGCGGGTGTTGCTATTTAAAATACAATTTAATTAACAACTAGATATATTGCTACACTATTTTTTTTAGTATTACATCAAAAATATTTAAAATATTGCGTGAAAAGGAACAACAAAAATGAATTATTGTAAACACTACAATAAATTGCATAAAAAGATTTTTTCTCCAAAATAAAACGTTGACAGTTGAAAAAACAAATTATGCCTTAGATTGTAAGAAAGGTAACAATTTTAAAATTAAATGGTAACACTTCCATTATGTCACATTGACAGCTGTCATATATTCCTCAGTGACATTCAACAAAAGAATTGCCATATACAAGTTGGAAACATTGAAGACCTTAATTATTTACATTAATTTTTACTTTAAAATACGAACAACGATCTATGGTAAACAATACAGACCAACTATGGTTTATTAATCTAAAAACTACGTATTTAAAAGAAATATACACAACATTTGGTCGAATACTGCTTCGGTGATGTATCTATTTACATTTTATTTGGTAAAATTTTATTTCACCTAAACTAAAGAATTTCATCGACTTCAATAAGAATTTATACATAATACTGTGAAGTAAAATAATTAAAAATGGGACATTTTTTTGGTGTGCAATCTAACATAATTTTACTAAGTAATTCTTGGTACAATTTTTAATTATAGGTTTTTAAGAATAAAAAGTTTTTGTTCAATAGTTTATAACTCATTTATCGTACAAATTGCGTATAGCTGAGTCAAAAGATTTTTGAAAATCGTTTCTTTAAAAGTCTACAACAAAAAACGTATAAGTCACATATTTTCTATAACAAATAGACACTAAGCGCCTGTCCCACAATTCTGTTAATAGTCAGATAACAACATATAAAATATGTGATGGAAATATCGGAATTTATTACTCTATCTGACAGTGACGTCACTTTTAAGCTATCTAGCTATCAGCCAGTGGTGGGACAGGACCTAAAACATTTTAGTATCAAGTTCTCTTGTGGAAGCTAATTTATAAAATGCTTGTTCACATATAGCTTATACTTAAATATAAAAACAAGTCTAAATTTTTTGAAGATCTTGACTATTTACATGTTAATTTATAAAAATTAAACATATGGCACTAAACATTGGCACAATTATAAATGGCACATACAATTCACTTTTCGAGATAAAACATTTTACATACATATTTAGTTATTTTCATTAAATACATAATTTTACAGTTATAGTTTTATGTGAATATTTTCAAAACTTTCTGCTTTTTTCATTACACAAACATTTTTTTTATTTTAATCTTATTCATATTTTTACTTACGATTTTTGAAGAAACTGCTTTCATATGAAACAAAAGATATAAATATCATATAAGGTTTTCACACCGACGAGTTCAATAAAGTAAATAAGAGTACAATTTCATGGTCATAATAGCAAGACAAAAAATTGTTAAAGCCGCGACACTGTCCTTTCTCCTATATCGTACCGGTCTACAGTACACAAAGTATAGGATTTTATCAAAGAAATAAACTCCGGGCTGCAAAACAATCCTTACTCCATAATTTTGTGTTCGTTGTTTGTCGGCGGGTTTGAGTCGTGAGGCAGTAGCGGCAAGGGCAGCGGCAGCGGCGGCAGAGGCAGCGGCAGCAGCGCCCGCGACTGGAAGCTCGCCAGCGAGTGCAGTAAAGCTGCGGAATGCTCATGTGCTTTACGACGTAACTCCGCCACGCTCGAGGAACGTGCTTCCTCTTTAGGACAGCAGGGACATGGGGCGCCCCAACCTGGAGACGTAAGAAAAATTTTCAATGTAAAAACTGACTGATTCTAAAATTTGTTTTATTACAATAAGATGGTGATTGATATTAGTTGATAGCAAATTCCCTATACATATTTAAAAGTTTTTTAACTACAGTTATAAAGGTTTAGGGGGCGCATCTTTTATAGACATTGGACACAAATTGTTCTCTTACTTGAATTTGTGGTTCATTTTTCTTCTTAATTATCATGTTTGTAAGTCAGTAAAGGCATTTATTGTCTACCGAATTTCGGTTAAATTTTACCTTTTAATGGGAAGAACGGCTGCGACAGTTGGTTGAGGTGGTGTGAAAGATGCGAGAGGTGTGGAGGTAGGAAGAGCGGAGGCGCGGGGGGCGCGGGCGCCTGCTCGCCTCCAGACGACCGGAATGCACCAGAACTGCAAAGAAAGTCATACTATAAGTCTATGCTCTGGTAAATTATTTCATTTGTTCTGCACAATTTTATTTTTAGGTACTAACGGTTGCTCACGAATTCGTCTGCATGAAATTAAAAAATAATAAAAAGCCTATGTTACTCACTGATAACATAGCTTTAGAATAGTAAAATAATTTTTGGAATAGGTCCAGTAGTTTTTGAGTTATTTCAATGCATACGAAAATACAAATCTTTCATAGATAATATATGATTATAGTGTTACGTAGAATGTTCTTTGATAATATTAATTTATGACAGATTTTATGCTTTTTGATACTCTTTGATTGTTATACAGAATAGGTTGCTATATGGTGATGTTAGTTTGTGAAGTCAGAACTTGAATTAATAAATATAGTTAAGAAGTTATCAAATCGTTTTAATTCGCAACAATATAGTAAATATTGTCGTCTATAATCAACTTAATGCTGTGCTTTTCACATGTTATTTAGATTAAAATAAAGCATTCAAAATATCTCCTCTGAATATATTTGAGTGCAGAAAGAAATAGAGCTGTACCGGTATCGATCTACTGCGACGTCCCGCGCCACTTTGATCCCTAAATATCGTTTGCGATCAGCCAACCGACGATTCGAGACGAACGTCTTATTTTATTTACTACTTTGAATAAAATTCACTTTGACAATCCAATTATATGATACTTCTACTTATCTTATCAGATTCAGAGTTTATTATGTTAAGGGTTAACATTGATATAACATGAAGCAGATGCTTTATTTCTTACTTATATTATGATTGTGTAAGTTTTGATGGATGTTTGTTAGAGTTTGTAGCCTAAACAGCAGAACGTATCTCAATGAAATCTGGCACAGATGTAGTGGATAGTCTGGAAGAACACTTAGGCTACTTGGTTTTTTTTAATACCACGCCTTCGGAGTCGCGGGCGATAGCTAGTATTAGATACATTTAATATATTTCTTTCTAATAGTTTACATATTTTTACGTATACTAGTTTTCAATACCTAAGTAAAACTATTGTATTAAGCTGGTAAATAGTGTTATTGTAGCTTAATATTGAAACTTTATTTATCTGAGTTACCTACGTTACTTACTGGAACAGTTCGGTATAAATAGACACAAAATGTAATTATGACTGAAACAAATTTGTTTCCAGCATTGGTTACTAAAATTTTACCTAAAAAACTAACAAAAAGCAATATATCAAATTGTTTTAGCACGTACGTGCTCGATGGGTTGGTGCTGTAAAATTCAGCAGCATTGCACAGCTGTGAAGAGATTGGAGACAATGAAATGAGCGGAGTGGAGCGTAGGTGTCGCGCTCCCACATTCCCTCAGTGCATAGCCGATGTAGCGGAACTACTGTCACAGAGCACAAGCGACAGCGGGTTTATATTTATGCAGAATATTCATAACTCTAAAGTAACTTCTGTTCGTCTTACGAAGTAATGTATATTTTATTATAGTAGGTGACGCTTGAGATAACATCTTTGTAGAAATTAGAGAGAAAAACGAAATTAAGAACTCTTTCAGATTACACTCATCGTAACCAAAAATCAAAAATCGTGAATATTATCGTTTCTACCACTAACTAACTAACTAACTACTTTTATTACTTTTCGACGGTTTACTAAAAATAGTGAATTAAGTAACGGTACTGCATTACACGTCAAATACTTTTATATTTCGGCCTTTTAAGATTTTAATTTTTAATGTTACAAAAATGTTTTAATTCAATAAAAAAACTACGATCTTTATTTTAACTCGTCAATTCTAAGCAATTCACTGTTAGTCTAAATCCGCTATCGCTTGTGAATTGCAGCTCGAATTCCCCAGGGCACTCGTTCAATGGAATCAAAGGATTTGCGTTCATTACGGCGCGTAATAATTGATGGGAGCCGTCGGTCGCTACTGACAGCTCGGCTTGCACTGTCTGTAGTACAAACTACACCCTCTGCCCTTGCGCTACTTTACACTACAGAGATATGTAATAACTTAACGCTACAATGCTAATAAGTTTGGCTTAACAAACTGAATCCTTACATTATATTTCGATCGCCAGACTATAGACATTTTAAAGGGTGAGGTGTGATTCAATTCATGTTTTATTTCGGAATTAACGTATTGGAACGTATTGGTTTATTAACCACTAGTTTTCGCCCGCGACTCCTTCCGTGTGGAATTAAATAAAACAAAAGTAAATAGGCTATGCTGTACATCTATGCCTAATTAAATCAAAACTCGTTTAACAGTTTACGCTCCAAACTCTAACATACATCCATCCATCCATATAAACTTTCGCTTTTATAATATCAGTAAGAACTATGATCATTCCACCTTCTAATTATTTTTGATAATTAAAATTTCTGCATTATTTTATTTTATTTGAGAAGAAGATCTGGATGACATTAAATTGTCGGACATAGAAATTTTAACACGACGAACTGTATTTGAACAGAGAAAATGGCTTCTTCTCTGATCTTTAATATGAAATGTCATTTGCTAACTAATAATTAATTTGCCAGAATACAAAGTACAGCATTGGGGCTGTGTAGATTCCATTAGGTACAAGGGTCAAGACATCTTGGGACTGGCTAACGAAGCGTGCCTCTATTAATTGGTTTCCGCGGGTAGGAACGGGGTAGAGTGGGGGGTAGGAAAACGACCTCCTTCCAGTCTCTGCTAATATGAATATTCAACTAGCGAATTGAATACAAGAAGGATTCCGAACAAAGAGAATTGATGTAACCTTTAACACCTCCGGTAATTGCTTTCAATGAAATGGGCCGGTATTAATATTTTCAAGTATTTATTACTTTAGTGCGATGACAGAATTAGGTTAAGTTTTGTTTACGCTTGATAAATTTCGGTAATGTTACTAATATTTGGATGGATGTATATCTACACTATTATAATAAAGCGTAAACACACACTTCTTTGTTGCCTAAGATGACAGCAATTCCAGCATATTTTTGAATACTTCTTTATTTAATAAAACGCCCTACACTTACGTCACGCTTTAGGCTATATATTTTCACGCTATTAAACTTAGGGAGTAAATAATTTGGATAAAAACCCTAATGTGGGAAAGAGACTGTAAGTTGCTGCCAACATCAAGGAAGCGAGGTTGCCAAGGTCATGTCATGTCATTTTGACATTTGCTATTGATAATTTGAGAAATGTAAACAATAAAATGAAATTTTCATAATTACATGCGGATGAAGGCGCACGGGAACAGCTAGTGGTTTATACGTACATCTGGAACTCAAGACAAAACGATATCGGAACTACCATGTTTCTCAGGGAGGCTTATAATGACCGAAAACTATTAAATACCTGCTTTCGACTGCGACACCGTCCGCGTGGAATTAAAGAAAAACACAAGTAAGTACCCTTTGTGTTCTTCCATACTATCATTATGGAGATCCGTTCAATAAATTAGGCAAAAATAAATATCCAGCCATCTAAACTTTCGCATTTATATTACGAGAATTTTACATTATACTTTACTGCTTTTAAAATGAAGACAGCGCCTTTTTGTATTATATATATATCTAGTATATTATACATATTAGAATATATACAAATACATTAATTTATAAAGCTAAGCTCTTGTCAGTATTGTAGTGGGAACATTTCTGTATTGAACGTTAAGGCGCAAGTTTGAGTGTAGGTAATGACTGGCGTTAATTATTCATGCAATTAACTGATTATTGCGACACCAGGGGGAGCTTTGACGACCGGACTATACATATATCTAGAAGTACAAAGGAAATCTATAAATAGTTAAAATGAAATAGAACTTAAGACAATTAAGGTAAATAAAAGCATATTATTAAGGTAACGAATTCATAATCTACAAGTATATCTATATCTATACTAATATTATAAAGAGGAAAGATTTGTATTTTTGTATATATTGAAATAACTCAAAAACTACTGAACCGATTTCAAAAATTCTTTCACCATTTAAAAGCTACGTAATTAGTAACATGTGTTTTTTACTTTTTTATTTTTACTTGACGCAGACAAAGTCGCGAGCAACAGCTAGATTTAAACTTCAGAGTAAGTCTGTGAATCCGTTTTCATTAAAATATTGAATAAACTGTAGTTTATTATACATCTTTTCACAGATATTACATTATTTTTATGTCTTATCAAGCTACAATTTAAAATATATGATTTAACGCTATTGCCTCTCTACAGTATACATTTGTGTGTAATACAATATCGTTAACATAACTTCATAAGCGAAGCGCCTGCGACAACAAATTACTGTCAATTTATCGTGTTGCATAATTAATTTTCATTTGTGCGCGCCAAGTGTGTATTCCGTTACCGGCACAACTATATTTTGATCATTTATTCATGCGCCCGTGTCAGGCATTTCATGATGTTGAATATCAAAGACGAACGACAATCGAATAATCTTGGAGCCAATGAACGCTTTGTACACCTAAGGAATACTTTAATGTAGCCTTAAGTGTTGCCAATTCTTCACGCCTTTTTATTTCTGCTCTTTGTCTTTTTGACGATTTTATACAGATTTAAAATAAATGATATTCAGCATATTACGCCATCTTTCGGAAAGACGTGTGAAACTATTCACTTAATTCTACGCATGGGTATCGTCATGGCGAGGAGACTTTTAAGATGAAAACAGTATTACGATGGTAACTGTGCCTTAGATCTAGCTTAGATCAGAGGACGAAGCCCGTGACACACCTATGTTCAGACAATTTTCAGGCTAAATAAAGGCTCTCCTTAAATTCTTCAAGTAAACTTTCAGACCTTCAATGTATAAATTAGTTATAAAAATATATCTACGTTAAAACTGACGTCTTATTAAGTTAGCTTTTACAAGACAGGTAAAACGTTAAAACGAAGCCACACTTTACATCTTTAAGGAACAATTTAAGTGGGAGGTGTGTAAGGTTGGGGGAGGGAGGGTCTAATTGCCAATTTTCTCTTTACGCCGTTTTTTTC